GGGGGAGCAAGATTCCAAGCGGCTTGATGCTATCAGGAGAAGAATAGCCTTAATTGTGGCTTAGTCTCTGTTCAAGTTGCAGACTTTACTTTTGTCATGGCTAAATGTTTGACTGGTTACTTGAATTATGAATTATTTTGTAGAAATTTTTTTTAACCACAGAATTTCAATCCTTTATATTTAGTCGGGTAGTATGGAAAGGAATATTGCAGTGTTAATGGGTGCAGTTTTCATAAACCTTAGTGTGACTTTTACCTGACTGGAGTAACTTCTTTTTACACATTATTATGTAGACAATCATTCTACTAAGACAGCAGATTAATTGTCAAAGTTACTATTTTTTTTTTGCAGGAGAAGGTATCCTTCCATATCTACCAAGATTAATGGAGAAACTACTTGTTGCACTGTCACCCAGTACAGTAAGTTTTTTTACTCAGTAGCAGGGTGTGATGAGTTTGCTTTTGTGAACATATCTGCATGCAGTGACTGCTACTCTTAGACTAACAAAGACTAGAGGAAGAATTTCAAGTTTATCTAACTGCGGCAAGTGCACATGTTTCCTAGTAGATCATAAGAAAGGTTTCACTGAGAGGTTGAACATTCACATTGAGCTATGTCAATTGAAGTTTACATTATTTTCATTGAAGAATAGCAAAGAAAAAAAAAAAAAGAAAATACTACTTCTTGTATAACAAGGGATGTTAATATGAAGAGGTGAATTCTGTTTGAAGTTCCCAAAATAATTATGTTAAACTGGACAGTGGTAATTATGGCCAAAAAAAACATTGTTTGCCATGCACCATTTGACAAACATTTAGCCAATAAAATTTAAGAATTTTTTTCAGTAAACTATAAGAACGAAAAATAGTGATAAAAATGATAGTAATCAAATGAAAGGTATTTTCATGAGCTCATATTCCATATCAATGTTGAATCATTATGAAAGTGTCACTACTAAATTTAATTTATTTTTGCCTATATGATTTATTTGGTTATCATTTGTGCAGAGTATGCAGATGAAGGAATTAGCAGTTAGTGCAATAGGAGCGACAGGTATTGGTATTGTGTTCAGGAACATTTATTTTGAGAGTATAGCATTGAAATTGAAATTTCAGGGAGCTCAAATGAATTAAAATTTTGTGCATGGTATTTGCTTGTGAGGCTAAATAGCACTTAGTGCAATAATTTATCTCAGTGCTTTTACTGAATTATTGTGGAGTAAGTGCATGTTTCAAGGATGAAAATAATTCAGAAAGCTACAAAACCCCTTGGAAAGTGAAATGCAAGCTGAAAGTGATTTACTTCTTGCTAATAGGAAAAGGAACAAGGAATGCTAAGAGCAGAGAATGTTAAAAATTCAACAAAAGCTATAATAATTGTCACTTTCTCTGCTAGCATTTTGCATCATACAACAGATACATTTCTCTTGGCCTTCACATTGTAGAGCCATCTCTTGCCTTGCATCTTATTTTCGTTCTCGTTTCCCATTCGTTTTGTGTCATATCCACTCTTTTTTTTCTGTTACACATATATTATGTTTTTAATTTACAGCAAATGCTGCTAAAGAAGCCATGTTGCCATACTTTCCTCAAATAGTTGAATTTATTAAGGTAATGACGGCACTCCCAGTTCACAAATGTTAAGTAAAATAATACCTTTAATTTTAATTTTTAATCTATTAGATTCACCGACAGCCAGGGACACTGCAACAGCTGGCGCCAATTACTGCAGGCCCAGTAAACGCACCCATCCCACCCCAGGGGAGGACATCCATCACACAGTAATCTCGTGCGTGGGAAATTAACGTCTCCTACCCCTAACCTTGAATTAGTTATCATTAGTTAGAATGCTAAGGCTTCATATGGGGTAGACACAATGCTTAAAAACAATGATTGGGTGGTTGAGGTCTTCAGTGCCCAGTCATCATTAAAAGAGTAGAATACCCCAGAAACCATAATCTGTAATCTGTTGTTAAAAAGTGTAATGTACTTGTTGACCTATATGAAGGAACGGATGGGAAAATGATTAGCTCAAAATCATGTGAGGGGTCCATGCGTAATAACCAAGAGCCAAATATTTTCTTGCCTGGCTTGAGTTAACTCATTCATTAAGCATTTTATCATATGATCAGCGCTCTTTCTTTCCCTTCTTTCTTCTTATATTTTACATCTCGCGGGCCGTGCGTATTTTTCCAGCCCTACTCACACCATCACGTATGGCCCTGTAGAGGAATTTTTTCGGATGTTTTCAAATGAAAGGGCTCGCACGGCCGCAGAGGTCATACGAAAAATATACTTATCGCGTTCTGAAAATGCAAACAGAAACTTAGCCTCCTGAAAATTGACTTCGATACGTGAAAAATTTAACCATGGAGATAAAATTACATAGATTCTTGGGGATACTTAAGGTGCGGTCTATAGAGTTTTTCAGAGTCGTAGTTAAGATGTTGACATTTTCTTAGGACAACGAAGGGGGTTTTTTTTCATCCCTCTTGATTTTCCGCCACATAACGAGATTTATGCCTTAAAACAGCACAAAAATTTAAAGATACTGAAAAAAAACTCAAATACTTTAAGCTCAGAATGTTGAACTCACTTGTTTTATCATCGGATGTTGTCACATTTATTTCTTGGATAGGAATATCTTAGCAACACGGAATCAATAGAAAGAAATATTCTACGAGTACAAGCTATTGGTGAGTCTTTCCCTGATATTCATGGATATTTCATTGTAATAAGCCAAAACAATTAGCACTTTGACAGCTACGTTTTGAGCTTTGATGGATTGAAAAGGACAAACTACTTGCTTCAACCTGAATTGCTTTTATCTATTTTCGCCTTTATGCTTTTGATGACGTTTATGTTCGTCAACAAGTGATCATGTCTCCCTTTTCCTTAAAACGAGAAGTTTTATCTCAACAAAGGAGGTTAAAATATTGAACTCTTCTAAAATACTCAAGTATTTGTCATATACTAACGAAATTTCTAAAGTGGTGTGCCATGTAAGCATCAATCACAAACGGTTATTCGAAGGGTGGATGCCGCTGTACGCTGGATGCATCTCTAGCGGGTGGTTTACGCAGTACGTTTTGTTAACACTTATCCGCTGGGTAGCGACTTCTCCGTTGGATAGTGTTACCGCCCCTTAAACAACTGGACCCAGTACTTTAACTTTCAATGAAAATTTTTTCAAATATTTTTGTGTTTTTCATAGATACATTAGGTGTCCTGGCAAGAACAATTGGAGCCAGTAACTTTATGCCACTGGCAGATGAATGTGTTCAACTTGGTTTGGTAAGGTTTCCATGTCAAACAATAGGGTGTCATTGTTGGTCACCAATGAAGACACCGAGTCTGCCATTGATTGAAGAACCTTCAATGCAATGCACACTCTGGAGGGCAGCACGTAGTCTCCTTGGTACTTTCTTTACTCAAGTCGTGTGCTGAGTTGTAATTTGGCGAACGATCTTTTCATACAAATCTCATTTCCATTTTTAGGACCAAGCTGACTTCATTTGAGTGACCTTTTCTTGTTGTCAGCATCTGTACTCTAAGCAAATTTTCTAGGTCACTTGTCCTTTGGTTTTATATAAATCAATTGTTAAAATTAAGATTCCATCTGAAAATAAAGTGAGCTTCGGTATGAATGTCAGTGACATGCTTGCAGTTTGAGATCTAGATATTTACTTTCAGAGACTACTTGAAGAAGACAGAGATCCTGATCTAAGGAGATGCACGTAAGAATTCTGATCATTGAACAACTTTCTTTGATCTGTGCAGTTCATTGTGGCAAGTTATAACTGGGAGTATTATTTTTTCTAAATAGATATGGTCTGTTTGCATCAGTTTCTACAATATTAAAGAGCAACATGGGAAAATATTTGAAAGACATAGTAAAGTATATGATTGAATCACTTCAGTCTGCTGAAGGGATTGTGGTAAGTTAATCTAGGTATTGCTAGTGGTACTAGCTCTGTCCATAAATATGCTGTCTGTAAATTTTGTTTTTATATTAAAAACAAGCTGTGATTAAATTAAAATGAATTATATAGCGCTTATTGCGAGTCTCTAAGCGTTTTACAATGTGAAAGAGAGAGAAATAATTTTTTAAATACATTAAGTGCATGAAAATCCCTACTGACGGGAGGCAGACCAGTGGGCTATTTACAGAGCGCTGCCGAGGAGTTCACCTCGGAGCAACCGAGAACAAATGCAATGAGTGGCAGGGTGTAGGACTTGAAAAAGGAGGCGAGTAAAAAGCGACTGAGGTCTGGGAAAGAGAGAAAAGGAGTGACGTATCAAAAATAATGCTGATGGACTCCCCCGCTATTTTTCGCCGCCTGCCTGATTATTTAATCGTTTCCGCTGACTAAGAAGCTGGCTTATGTCAGTCATATTCTTATTATTAATTTAGACGCATTATGCAACTGAAGATGATCCCAGTTTTTTGCTGGATGATGAGGATTTGGAAGGAGTTGGGGGTGTTGAGGACGATGATGATGAAGTAACAGGGTAAAATATGGTTTTTATTTTTTAGTTTTGATAATATAGTTCGTACTGTGACGAATTTGAAGCTCCAGTGGTCTGTCTATTTTCCCTTTCAGTGACTGAAATGATTTTTTTTTTTCAACTAAGTGATTAAATGGTGTTTATTTTATCAAAATCTTTGCCACACTTGACTTCCGTTTGTTGTTTAATTCCCTTTGTTTACAGATATAGCGTGGAAAATGCCTATTTAGAGGAAAAAGAAGATACTTGTAACGCTCTTGGGGAAATTTCAGAAAACTCAGGGTAGGTTGTATTGCGTATGTCATTACATTTGTGTAAATGTTACGTTTTTATGGAGATTTTGCATCTTTTACCAATCTCCGCCTTACATTCTGCCAAGATTTTTACCTGCAATACAGTTGTACACCCATTCTTACTATATAAACTTGTGCTTACGGACAAATGGTCACGTGATAAACCAAATTCGTCATGTTCTCATTACCATTATTTTTATGAGTATGGGGCTTCACTGCGCACGCTGTGCACGCTGTGAACTCCGCTCTTGACCAAAATTTTTCTGCTAAATTTCAATGGCCTGAGCT